GTTTTAGAATGAAATTCGTGTATTGTTAAAGTCTAAGTAAAAGAAATATAAGAACTTTTTTTATTTTTTAAAGAAACTTAAAATTATCATATTAAAAGTTATTGATAATGTCATTTAATGAAAGGTCAGATAAAAAAGAGAGTGAAGAAAAAGAAGATATAATCAATGAAAATTTACAAGAAGAAGAGATATATCAATTATTAATTGAAAACATGAAATCTATAGAAATAAATGGAATTGAACAAGAAGAAACAATGAGTTCTCAAACACCTAAAGAAGAAATTTATTCACTTTTTTATGAAGGAATGAATATTGAGTATTCAAAGGCTGAATATTATTTTAATTTAACTGATTGGTATATAGGATATTTGATTCAACTATATAAAAATGGGGATAAGTCAATTGAAAATGAATTACCAGTTATTATTTCATTTTCTATACAAAGAATTTCTGATGTATTTAAAGAGGAAAGTATATTAGGATTATTAATGAAATGGGTTGATATTGAACTTCAAGTATTTAAAAGATTTAATGAAGGCATAAAAATTATTGAACAAGTTGTTTCAATTGCAGGATTTAATATTACCAATTGGATGAAATATATTGAAGTACTAAGACTTAAAGGAGATTTTGAAAAAAGTATTCATGAAAGTAATGTTGAGAAGAATGACATTGAGAGAGAAGTAGTTGAAAAAACAAGAAAAATAATAAATAGAATGATTCATGTAATGAAAGGAGCTGATAGAGAAAGTTCAATAGCAGCATGTGATTATGGTATTTGTTTTGAGCAAATTCATGGAAATAGTATGAGTGTAGAAAATATGATAAAAAAGAGAAGAGAAGTAATTAATATTATTGAAAATAAAGAGAAAAAAGCACAAAAACAAGAAGAGTTTACAAAGAAAAAAAAGAAATATGAAAAAGATATCAAACGAATAAATGATAAAACAAAGAAAGCAACAAGAGTAAGTGAAGACAAAACTCGAAATGTTCCAAGAAGGGGCAGAATTGGATTTTCTTTGAAGTAAAGAAAACACAAAAAAATTAATTAAATTGATAGATATTTGAAAGCTAACTTGTTCAATGACAATATAAAAGAGAAGAATTCCATTGACAGTTATTTTGTTTACAATCAATTTCAGAAGTTCTATTTGAACAAGTCTGAAAAGTAATAGAAGCACAATAAAATTTAACAAAATTAACACAGGTAATATAAACATTGATTGTTGTTGTTGGGAAATTTTTAATTGGAGTACCTTCTATATAAGGAGATGATGTATCAGAATTTGAAACACCATAAAACCCTGGAGGTAATTGACTACTAAATTCAAAAGAACTTGACCAACAATTCCAAGGTAGTTCTGAAATGACTTGTTTTGGTATTGTTTCATTAAGAGTAACTGATAAGAGATAAGAACTACCATAGTCATTAAACGAACAGGCATAATCAGGTTGAATAATAAATAAAATTCCAATGATAATACAAACACAAATAAAGAAAAGGATGAGGGTTGTAAAGATAATTGAGAAAGATATTTTGAATTTTTTATTTAATAACATACCTGCAATACCCAAAATAAAAAATAATCCTACACAGACAATTGAAAGTGTGATAATTGAATTTCCCATTATAACACTCATTCCTAAAGCTAAAACTCCAAGGAACATAAAAATATATGTTGATAATGAATTTTCTCTATGCCAATATAATACTAATTGTTTTGTTTGAATACTTTCAGATAATTCATTTCTTTGTCTCCAACAACTTGTCCACATAACAATAGTAATTGTCCAACAATATACCCACATTCCTGGTAGTTTTGGTAATGAATATACAATATATCCAGATATTAAAGAAAGTATTGATGCAGCAAAAAGTGTTATAACTGCTGGTCCCATTGAAAAGTTATATGTAGGAAATTCTTGAAATAAATTGTCATGTGATGGTTGTGTTGTTTTTAATTCATTTTCAAACTTTTTTGCAATTTCTAAAGCATCATTTACTGCTTTTGATAATGATTCAAGTTTAGAAGAGTTATTGTTTTTTGTTTCTGATGCTGCTTTATGAATCTCTTTTAATGCTTCAACTAAAATAGGAATTATACCAATAACATCAACAGATAATCCAAACTCATCTTCATGAACTAATTCAGGGCATACTTCTTGAACTTCTTGTGCTATAAAACCTAACTTTTTTTCGTCTTTTCCTATATATTTAAATGACTTACCTGTTAACTTTAAAATTTTATCCACACAACCTTTGAGAGGTTCAATATGTTCTTTTACA